CCACCTCCACCACCATCACCACCTCCACCACCACCAAACAGGCACCCAGAAATTTCAAGATCAAGGTGACAGCTGGGGTTGCTGGAGAGATGACTCATTGGTTAAGAGCACTGGCTGCTCTTCCAGAGGTCCTGAGTTCAGTTTTCCGCACTCACATGGCAGCTCACAACCATCTGTAACTCCAGTCCCAGGGGACCTAACACCTTCTTCTGTTCTTCTGGCATTCAAGGGCACCAGCCATGGATATTGTGATATATGTGTGGGCAAACACCCATGCACATTAAAAAAAAAAGGTGGTAGCTCTATGCCCACATTTCCATCTCCAACGGAATGATGTCCAGACTAACCTAACCCTATCCACTTCCTCCTCACTTTTAAAAACAACTATCTTCTTTTTTCTTTCTTGAAAGCCGGAAAGAGGTATTAGATCTCCTTTTCATTATAGATCTGCATAAGACTGTCTGCTGATACACAACACAGCCAGTGCTGGGCCGTTCTGAAATCTCCTCTGCCCAAGCTGTTATTCCATAACGTTTCAATTTAGCCTCAGGCAGATTTGTTTAGACAAGGACAGAAAGCAGCCACTTTCTTCACCAAAACATCACAAGAATAGTCTCTAGGCCATTATTAATATTCTTTTCCTCTGAAACCTCTTGAGCTGGCCACCACAATTCACATCATCCTAGTACCACTGTCTTTCATGCTCCTACTAGAATGGCCATTAAGGCCCACTTAAAGTGTTCAGCTGCATTTCTAATCTGGTCCCAAAGTCCACCTTCCTCCAAACCAACACAGAGTTACACCTATCACAGCAATACCCAGGCCCTGGTACCAACTTCTTAGTTTTTTCTTTTTCTTTTTTGAGACAAGGTTTCACTATGCAACCTTGGCTGACTTAGAGCTCTCTCTGCAGACTAAGCTGGCTTGAAACCCACAGAGATCCGCCTACCTCTGCCTTTGGAGTGCTGGGATTAAAGGTGTGTGCCAACACACCCATCTTCTTTCTTTGTATTGGCACATGTTCCTCGTCTGTGGCACAGACTTCCTAAGGACATTTTCACGCAAGTATATAATGTTGTAACCTCTACTGCAGCTCTCCTGTGCACAGCCATCATGAAAGGGAGGTGCAGGACAGATGGTCTGGTAGTGGAGCAGATAAAGGATGCTGACTCTGTAGTAATGTACAAATTACCGTATTATATACAGCTCGATATTGCCAGCTCTGTGTGTGTGTGGTGTCTGTGTGTGTGTGTGTGTGTGTGTGTGTGTGTGTGTGTGTGTGATGGAGATCCAACTTTGCAATCCTAGGTAAGTTCTGTATCACTGAACAATGTCTTCAGGTCTCCCATCCATCCTAACTTCCTGTCCATTCTAAAGAGTATGAAGGGGTCAGCCCCACAGGTTGCTCCTCTGTCCCACCCCAGCTTGCCCTTCTCGGGTTCTTTCACCGACTGGGACTGTGCAGTGACCCGCCTGCACCAAGGTAGCAGCTCCCTCTTTCTGGAAGAAGATCCTCCCTCTCCAGCACGTCCCCATTCCCTGCATGTCCCCACACTGCCCTTTGGGAGTGAACACACAGGCTTCTGTTTCCTACCCTCATGGTCTTTTCTGTCTTGAATTAACAGGCTTCAGATCCTGGGACGTGGATGACGGAAGAGGGGAAGATAATCAGATTTTCGTCAGTCTTGATAACAAGGTCACAGGTCCTCTGACAGTAGCCAAGGTAACCCACCTTTCTATTTATCTTAGTCCATACTATCTCTGAGCCCAGGGGTTGGTGGGGTGGAGAGCACTAGTCAGTGCACAACGATTGCTCAGTGTGCTGCTGATGTGCCTGGGAGCAGGTACCATGCCTTTCCCCTCAGACATGAATTCAGTGTTCTTGAGGCAGTTGTGAGATCAGGAAGTACAATAGCCAAGATGACTTTGGACAGATTGTATTGGTAGCCTTAGACCACATCTGGTAGGCAGATGTTGTCTTTTCTTACAACTTAAGGTTCACATATGGGATCTATTAAATCAGGGATCCTTTAACCTGTAAGTCATTGACTGGTTAAAACTGGCAAGACATTTCCCAGTTTTAACCTTTCCCGGAGTCTGGAGATGGAAGTCAGAAGTAGGGCACCTATCATGGGCACAGTTCCACCCCCAGCATAGAACACACACACACACACACACACACACACACACAGAGAGAGAGAGAAAGAGAGAGAGAGAGAGAGAGAGAGAGAGAGAGAGAGAGAGAGAATGTGTATGACCAGAACGCACAGAGGCATGTTTCATGTAACACACAGACATCCCTTACAAATGAATGAGAAATTGATTATTCGCCGTGTTAGCTGATACACACCTGCAATTTCAGTACTTGGGAGGCTGAGGCAGGAGACGCATGAGTCTGAAGACAAACTGAACCAGTTTCAAAAAGAAAACAGAATCCTCTCTCCGTCCCCTTTCTCTCCCACCTCCACCTTCCATCCTTCCCAGCCACCATGAAGTGAACTGCCTGCCCCATCATGTCCTCCCTGCCAGGATGAACTAAGCAACCATGAGCTGAACCAGCCCCTCACCCTTTAAACAACTTAAAGTGGTTTCTGTCCTGTAATTGTCAAAGTAACAAAAACCAACAGGAAGGAGGTACTTCTGTGAGGTCATTACAGGTATCCTGTGGGTCAGAAGCCATAGAACAAGTTTGGGTGGGGGGATTTAGAAGCTTTTGGAGAAGGAGGTTAGAGAGGCCTCTGAATGCTGTAAGTTCTGGTACCCGCTCAAAAGCATGCAATGCCAATGGAAGTGTGCACAGTGAAGATGGTTGCTCATGAGATGTTAGATAGGAATTCAAATCGAGAATGGGACTGTAGGGAAGCCATGGGTACTACATTATCCCAAAGAACTTGGCTATATTTTATGCTTATCTTGAGCCTTTCAGGGAGGTTGGGTTTAAAGTTGATGGACCAGGGAGGCTTTGGTGGGTCTAAATGGGAATGGCTCCCACAGATTCATAGGGAGTGGCATTATTGGAGGTGTGCCTTGTTGGAGGAAGTGTGTCATGGGAGGGTTGGACTTTGAGGTTTCAGAAGCCCAAGCCAGGCCTAGTGGCTCACAGTCTCTTCCTGCTGCCTGCTGATCCAGGTGTAGAACTCTCAGCTCCTTCTCCGTGTCTGCCTGCATGCTGCCATGTCCCACCATGATGATAATGGATTGAACCTCTGATCCTGTAAGCCAGTCCCAATTAAATATCCTCCTTTATAAGAGTTGCCATGGCCATGGTGTCTCTTCACAGACAGAGGCTGAGCATAAAATTGAGAGACTGATTGATCTGACAGAGGACATTTCAAGGCAACCAGCATCCAGGCTGTGGTACACTTATCAGAGGCTGATTTTAGTCAGAGAGATGAGATTCTCTTTAAAAAGCAGAGCAGAAAGACCTGAAAACCCTCACCAGAAATGGAGCACAACAAAGTTGGTGGCCAGGAGAACACGGCAGCTGCAGAGATGCGCTTTGCCGCAGGATAAGGGGAAAGACATCTTGAAGGCCTCTGGGGAACTGGCCAGGCGAGCTGTGCTGCAGGATCGGGGCAGAAAGCTGGAGATTCACTTGTGAAAAGAAAATTCCAGGGTGGCCTGCTCACACAGAGCTACATAGGGACGTGTTCCTCCATGTTCACCCACCCAGACACTGGAGCTATTGCAGCAACAGTCGGGGCAGGGGGAGGAGGGCGTTATCTACCGCTGGAGCTGGTGGCAGACTTTAGGGCTGTCCCTGTGGTGCTGGTTTTCCAGGCACAGGATGTAAAAGCTATCAGCTCATGGAGGCTTCCACACAGATTTCAAAGCAAGGCTTGGGAGAGCGGGCCACACATGACAGGGGGTGAGGCCCTGAAGAATGATGATGTGAAGCCCCGGGATGTTGAAAAGATTAAAAGCACGGAACATCTATCACCAAAAGCCACAGGCAGCAGACAGAGTCAGTCAAAGGCAGGCCACTTGGGCTGAGACTGCCCAGAACACAGAGGCCGGCTGTTGACATCCGCTGGAGGTCAGATCTCCATACCACACGACCAGAACGCCAGGCACGGGACTGCAGGGTTTAGCGTTTGCCCTGCTGGGCTTTGGTCTTGCTCTGGTTTCACTTTCCTCTGCTTCTTTCCTATCCTCCGTGTGCCGCTGTCTGGGCAATGTGTCACTTGGTTTTCTAGTTACAGGGACCTCACAGCTAAGAATTTGCCTTGAGTCCTAGAGGAGACTTGGGCCATTACTGGAACCATTTAGACTATGAGAACTCTGGAGGAGGAACTGAATGCACTTTGCCTTATGGGAAGCACACGGACCTTTTCAGGGCCAGGAACAGAGTGTTGTTGCGCAGGGAGATATGTCTGGGTGTGAGCCTGACAAAGGTCTATGGTTAATCTTAATTATCAACTTGACTGTGCCGAGAAGTGCCTGGGGTTAGTAAAATGTACTTCCCAGGTATCTATCTGCAAGGGCTGCAGGGAGCATTTCCAGAGATGGTCAGCTAAGGGGTGAAGACCCACTCCAATGTACGCAGCATTACCTCATAGGCTGGAGCCCCCAAGGAAGTCCAAAGAAAAGCAGAGAGCCTGTGAGCACAGAGTTCTCTCTCTGCTTCCTGCCTGTCATGGTGTAAGCTCTTCTGTGTCAAACAGCGGGCTTCCTTGTCATCATAGAATCACTGGTCTGGCATTGGTCACGACAATGAAAAATAGAATAAAGAAACACACACATGTAATCTTAGCACTCGGGGGACAGAGGCAGGAAGATCAGGAGTTCAGGGCCACTCTGTGCTGTATGAAACCCTGTCTAAAAAAGCTGGAAGAGAAAAATAAAAAAAGAGATTAGAGCTGATTATAGTTAAAATGTCACAAGCTGATTAACCCAATAGGAGAAAAGAACAAAAGCATGAATAGGCAGTTCACACACTCCATATATACAAAAATTCAAAATACAAATGTGTATGTGTGCATGTACATATATGTGTGCATGTGTGCATGTATGTGTGCATGTGCACGTATGTTGCATGTGTGCATGTATGTGTGTGTATAAAACCATTGCATTGCTGCACTATCTAAACTGACTTTTATCTTAAGCATGTATTACTGGGTATGGTTGTTTTTCAGGGCTGAGGACTGAACTCAGAGTCCATGCTAGACAAGGGCTCTATCCCAAGCTACACTCCCAGTCCATTTTACTTTATTAGAAACAACAATAAAACCATATTATTGGGGTCCTCCTTAGACAAATTGGATCTAAATCTCTGGAGACAGAAGGCAGGAACTTATGTTTCAAAAAAGAAATGCAAGCAGTGGGCAGCTGTGTCAACTATAATCTCAGCATGCAGAAGCCAAGGCAGGTGCATAACCCCAAATTATTGCCTACTTAGCAAATCCCAGGTAACCAGGGCTAGAGAGCAATACCTTGTCTCAAAAAAACAAAGTGAAACAAATGGGGTGGGGTGGGGCTGGGAGAGATGACTCAGCCATGGCAGCTTGCAACCACAGGTAACTCTAGTTGCAGGGGCTCCAACATCCTCTTCTGGCCACCTGCACACCAGATGTGCGAGTGTTACACAGACATAAATGCAGGCAAAAAATACCCATACACTTACAATAATAAAATAAAATTAAAAAAAATTAAAAAACAAACAAAACCAAAACAGGAGCATTATAGGCAATCATAGAAAAATAGTTTAAAAATTAAAAGTCTTGGGGCTGGAGAGATGGCTCAGCGGTTAAGAGCACTGACTGCTCTTCCAAAGGTCCTGAGTTCAATTCCCAGCAACCACATGGTGGCTCACACCCATCTGTAATGAGGTCTGGCACCCTCTTCTGGCCTTCAGGCATACACACAGACAAAATATTGTATACATAATAAATAAATAAATAAATAAATATTAAAAGTCTTTAAATAAACAGTAAAGTAATAATAATAATAATAATACAACTCACATAAGGATGAGAAATCCAGGGCGCCTGGATCCTGTATGTTGCTTGTTGACTTTAAGGTTTTAAATGCTGGAGAGTGAAGGACACATGCTGAGCTGGGGAGAGGTTACACCTGTGTTTCCACAGGAAACAAAAAGCAATGGATTTCTTCAAAATTAATAAAGAACAGATATGATTGGAGGAAACCTCCTGAAAATATTGGCTACATCTCCAGACAACAGGAAGCAGTCTAGAAAACACAACACCCACATTACCAAGAGATAGGGTGGGTGGCTTTGGTTATTTGGTGGGTTATGGATGTTTAGGGGGATTGAGTGCAAGTTTTATCAGTCATGGTCAGGGGAAAAAAAACTAAGCAGAATAGGTTGGATTCAAGATCTCTGTCTGAAAAGAAAAAGGGGGATATAGGAATGATAGAATAAAAGGGTGTATTATTGAATCTACTTTTAAACTAAAAAAAAGCAACTGCAGATCTTAAATATTTTACATTGGTATGGATTTCTATATATTGACACAAATTTAAGGTTATTTTGTTATACTGTACATATATTTCTACTCTTGTTTAAAGTATTGTACTTGTGTGGGTCGATTAGTAATCTAATGTAAATTTCTAGTCCTTGAAAGCTATTACTATAAATTACTCAGGATAATTAAAAAATATAGATTAGTAGTTAGTCATACATAACAATGAAACTTGTAGTCACATAGATATGTTTTCAAGGTCAAACAGATACATTTTAGATATACAGATGGTCTTCAAACACTTCAGAGACCTACAGAATACGGCATTTAAGATGCTTTAATAACATAGGCTTTATATGAGAGTGAGATATGTCTGCTCCTGGCAGCACAAGTCTACTTCAAAAATAGACAATTAGCATTGAAGAACCACCATGTGGAGTTTGCTTTCACTTATGACAGAGTTAGCCACTGGGCAGGAAACTGCCCTTGCCTTGACGGCTGGCAGTGTGCTGTCCAAACTGGACGAGCAGAACACAAAGGAAGGCAACTGCTGAACTCTGCCAAGACAAAGTAGGAGAATCCTTCAAAGCTCCTGCTTCACAAAAAGCCTGTCAGATATTCTAGGCCTAAAGATTGAAAATGGATGCCCTAACATTGCAGACGAACCTTGGGTGACTGTCCAGGCAGCCAGATGTTTCTGCCGTTTCTATCGCTTTGGAAGTTGTTTGCTCTGCACCTCCTGTTTACTCAGGTAATAGCTTATCCTTATCAGGTCTACGATAGGGTTGATGACTAGACAGTCATAGTTATATAGTTTTCCTTGTTAGCAAATTCAGAAAATAATTTCACAAAAAGAGCAATAAAATGTATAAGGTTGAGAGAGATAAAAGTTTAAGTTGCTTATCTTGGAAAATAAGAAATTTTGAGGTCTAAAAAGATAGATTTTGGTTAGTAATACAAGTTATGATAGAAAATGGTTTGGGCATAAACTTTGTACTCATCAAGATAACATAGATAATAGAGTCATTTCTCTGAATATACCAAATACAAATGGACTGGACATTGTGAATGTAATCCTTACCTCATAACTGTTCTTATTATATGTAGTTTTACTGTGTTAGAGTTAAACCTTTTCCTTTTTATTTAGACAAAAAGGGGGGAAAATGCAGAATATTTGTGTATACTGTAAAGGTATGTCTCTGCCCAAGGTACCTTCTGTTTTTTTTTTTTTTTTTTAATAAAGAGCTGAATGGTCAATAGCTAGGCAGGAGAGAATAGGCGGGACTTCTGGGTAGACAGAGGAGGTCAGACGGATGAATCAAGGCATGCTAGGGATTCCCCTAGTGAGACAAAGGGGAAACAGGACATGCAGTATGGAGACTAGGTAATGAGACACAAGGCAGAACATTGATTTAAAAATATGGGTTAATTTAAGTTATAAGAACTAGTGGGAAACAAGCCTAAGCTAAAACCAAGCTCTCATAATTGATAAATCTCTGTGCCATTATTTGGGAGCTGATGGTTCTGATGAGAAAGGAAAACTACAGGTCTTGAGTCATGGCTCAGCAGTTAAGAGCACTTAACCATTCCTGCAGTCTCATTTCCAGCATCTACCTGGCAGTTCAAAACTATAGGTAACTCCAGTTCTGTGGATCCAGCTCCCTCTTCTGACCTCCCAAGGTTCCTGCATGCATGTGGTACACACAACGTAACACAGATGAACACATACACATAAGTAAACTTTTTTTCAAAACAGCAAGAACTCCAAAACTGGCTGGATCCTGCACAAGGGCAGGAATGGGTGGGAGCCTAGAGCATCTAAAGTGCTGAACATGAGGGAGCATTGCAAACAGTCATGTGCTGTGCCCCATGGCCAGACGATGGCATAGACAGCGGAGGATTGCAACCCAGGGCAAAGGATGACTACTCCCCCCACGCAGCCACCCTGGAAAGAGAAGCTGCATCTCTCTCACAGAATCCCAAAAATACCACATGCTCTGCACAGATGCTCCAGTCTGCGGGAAGCAAGGCTTAGTTCTTGCTACCCCTTCAGTCATGGCTTTTGCTTACAAAAACTGCAGCATCAGAGCAGGGGACAGAGAGACCTCAAAGTGTAGAAACTTGATGATCAAAGGTAGCTTCGGTGACAACGTGCCATACAGATGTGTGTGCCTTGGCTGTGAGGAGGCTAACTGACTTCTGGGGTTTCCTCTCTACCCAGAACCCCAGTCTAAGCACAAACAAAATACCAGATCAATTCGAGCAGAAACTATTTTACCTGACACACAGCAAGAATCTTCAAAACCGTTAAGGTCCTGATGAACAAAGGAGCTCTAAGAAACCGTCACTGAGCAGAGGGAACTAAAGAGACAGGATGACTAAAAGTGATCTGGTCTCTAGATGGGATAATGAGGCACCAAGGGCAGTTAGTGGAAGTACTGGTGACATGCTAGAGGCTGGTCAACCACTGCAACCAAAGCAGAGCTCTAGAAAGCTCTGTGTAGACAGCTGGGCTCCAGAGAAGGGCAGTGTGGCTTCCCTCTGGTGTGCAGTAGAACTGCCAGGGGGTTCCTTACTTCAGACACCCAACCTGAAATGACTATATAGCAGAGGATAACCTGGAGTTTCTGATCTCCCTGTCTTCTCTTGAGTGCTGGGATTGTAGGCATGTGGCACCACACGCATCATAAGAGATTTGAGGGCCTGAATCAAGGTTTTTGTACATGCTAGACAACCAGTCTACCAGCTACACTACAATTCCCAGCCTTATCTTACAGAGTCTTTCGGTAGGGTAAAAGGGCCAGCTAAAGAAATTCACCCTGGCCCTGAAACCAGAGACAATGAAAGAAACACACCCTGGATCTGAAAACCAAGACAGTGAAAGAGACACTTTAGCCCTGAACCCAGAACCTAAGAAACACACCCTGACTCTGAAGCCATAGCCAAAGAAACACACTTTGGCCCTGAAACCAGAGTCAGTGAAAGAAACATGATCTGGCTCCAAAAATAAGCCAAAAAGCTAAAGGGGAAAAAAAAAAAACTGAAAGAAAGCCAGTTTGGCCCTGACACCAGTGTCAACTCTGCCCCTGAGCAACTGAGCATGGAAACCAAACAATCCCTGAGCAGGAAGCCAACCAGTCCCTGAGCACAAAATCTAGCAACCAGACCCTGAACCCAGAGCCAGGGAAAGAAACACGCTCTGGATCTGAAACCCCAGCCAGTGAAAGAAACATTTTAGTACTGAACCCAGAAGCAAAGAAACACACCCTGGAAATGAAGCCAGAGCCAAAGAAACACACTTTGTCCCTAGAACCAGAGCCAGTGAAAGATAATACACCTTAGCCCTGAAAATAGAGCCAAAAGGCTAAAACAGGCCCTGAAATCAGAGCCAGCTCTGACCCTGACCAAATAAACCAACCAATCCCTGAGTAGGAAAACTAACCAATCCCTGAGCAGAAAATCTCCCTGGGAGAACTCTGACCCTAAGAAGCTCTATGTAAAGTTCAGTTGCTGAATGTCGTTTCCCACCCCATCAGAGGTAGCCATTCTCCTGTACTCCTTCTTCCTAAACAAAAGAGTTTTGAGTGAAGATCTTCTTTAGCTGGTGCAGAGCAGAAGAACTTTTGCTGAGACATTCTCTTGGGAGGCTGAGCAGGAAAAAAAAAAATACCAGAAGAAACAGTTACATCTGTGGGGAAACTCCCTTAGGAGTGGAGGAGAAAAAGTAACTTTTCGCCTGAGTCGGAGGAGATTGCTACACTTCCACAGGGGCTTCCCCTTGGAGCAGAGTAAAGCAGAAGAAGTGACATCTTGGCTGGCGCAGAGCAGAAGAAGAAACAATAGCTCTGGTGGGTGTTTGGAGCTCAGCTGTACCTGTTCACTCTCAGAGAGGAGCAGGATTGCTACGTCCGGGAAACCATCCCCTACCACACCCCAGCTTCAGATATGGCCTGACCTCCGGATGAGTCGGGATATCTTTCCTTCCAGAGCTGTGACATCCACATTCTCTGTGTAGTCCTGGCTGTCCTGGAACTCACAGACATCCTCCTGCCTCTGTCTCTGCAGTGCTGGGATTAAAGACATGAGCCACCATGCCTGGCTTCCCAGCATTATTATTTAATTAAAAGGTATTTATTAGCTTTTTGAGGATTTCCCACAGTGGTTTTTATGCATATTCACCCCTCGCCCAGCTCCTGCCAGATCCACCCCCAGGCCCTTCCCTATCCAACTTTGTGTCCTTTCTATTTTCACTCATCAGGTCTAACCTGTGCTGGACATACATACACGGATATGTGGCCTTCCACGGGAGCATGGTTGACCTACCTGTGGCAAATCTTCGGTGGCAAAGGTGGATCTTCATTTGTCTGCTTCTTTTGACATTCTTGGCCTAAGACAGTCATAGTCCTAATTACAATGAGTTCGGCTAGCCACTATCCTTGACTTTCCCTTTCTGTCAATTTTGAAGGCATTCATTCATTCATTCATTTGCATAGGTCTTTCTGTCATCGGCCACAGTTGGGTTAGTTTGGTGTCCAGCACAGAGGACCTCATAGCCAGATGTGGATGTGCAAAGGAGGATTGGACACTTGTCTGTGATTGACGGCTTGGAGAATTCCATATGTCAGCCTTCTGTGGCTACAAGAAGTCTCCCACACCTCCTGAATATTCCAGATGTCTCAGGCAGGGATGCCTTCCTCGGTCGTGGCCTTGGGTTCTACGTGGAATGGCACAAGTCTCTGCTCCCTTGGGCCTGGGCAGCAGCAGAAGAAAGGCGAGGCTTGTTTAGTAAGGTCTCCAGAAGCTGTGAAATATCACCTGGACAGACTGTTCTAGAAGCTCGCAGCAGACACTGTGCTCCTAATTACTCTGTCATCGGTAAGATGTGAGTCCTGCTGAAACAAAAAGCCTCTGAAGATAGAAAGAGCATGAACTTCATTCATTATGTAACATCCCCGGGCTATTTGGGGCACTCCGTGAGCTTCCTAATAGAACTCTTACCACCGTTTGACGTGTGATGAGTGCAAAGTGAACGAATACAGAAAATAAGTAATTAATAGGAAGCAGCTGACACGCTGTTCTGATCGTCCCGACCTAGAGAAGAGTCTCTTTCCTCTGGTGCTTAATTAATATTCAGATCACACCACATTTTTTCATTGCAGGTCTAATGAATGACACTCGTGAATTCTTTTGGAGAATGAGAATCATTTCAAGGTGTGGAACAGTTCACAGAGAGGCATCCTGGGCTCCCAGTTCTCATTTTTCCTCCCTAGGACCTCTCCTCAAACCAGGCTGCAGCTTGCTGCCGCCTTGTCTTCCTCCCCATCCAAGTTGGTACTCCTGGCTAACGTTCACTCTAGCCTTAGCTCAAAGATTATGTCTGGGGGTGGTGTCATGTGTGCCTGCAATCAGAGCACTCAGGAGGCTGAGCCAAATGGATTATGAGTTCAAGACCAGCCTGGATGATGTAGTGAGGTGTTTTCTTACTGTGAACTCAGGTCAGGAACATGAGACAGCTAGATAATAGATAGATAGATAGACAGACAGACAGACAGACAGATAAATGATCCTTACATAAATGGCAGATATATTAGAGATGTATAGATACATGATAGGTAGATAAATAGATGATAGATAGATAGGTAGGCAGATAGATAATAGACGGTAGATAGCTAGATGGATAGGTATAGACAGACAGACAGACAGACAGACAGATAATAGATGGATGGATTGATGAGTAGAGTGAGCGCGGCAGAGCAGAGAATAGTGAGACTAGCTGGGTTATAAGACGGATGAGGAGCTGAGGGGGGGAAGTGCCGGAGCTGGAGGGAGTTTAGGGCAGAGGAGGAGGTGAGAAGAGCTAGAATACTAGTGGACATTAAAGTGTATAACAGGTACTTGTGACATTGAGGGAGCCTGGAGGCCAGCATGTACTGTGATATGCTGACAGCCATCACAGGTAGTCAAATGTAAAGGAAATGACTCCTTTTGGCAGATGGGAACCAGGTTCACAAATTCCTGAGGATGCTGACTTTTATCTAACTGCCAGAAACCATAGAGTCCAGCTCAAACTCATTTCTGGATATACGGACTGCCTTTTGGAGTTGGGAAAACTGGAGTTCCCTTTGGATCTGACAGGAATACTCCTGTCCTGTTAGGGGTCGAGCATGCACACCACAGCCACATTCTCAGCCCATTAAATGGTTCTGAGACCATTTCCCATTGCAGCAGGGGCTTCCCAAGGCTGGAAGAGGCACCAATGGGAAGAAGGCAGTCCGGGGCCAATGCGATGGCTTAGTGGATAAAGACAGGCTGATGGCCTGAATTTATGTAAAATCATTGTTAAAGATAGGACTGGGGTTGTAGCTTAAGGGTGGAGAGCTTGCCTTCCACATGTAAGGCCCCGGGTTCAATCCCCAGTATTGAGACAACAATAAAAACTGTGGTTGGGTGTGGGGCACACACCTTTAACCCTAGCGCTCGGGCAGAGGCCAGCCTGGTCTGCATAGGGAGTTGAGACTACACAGCGAGTCTGTCTCAGCTGTAACAACAGCAGCCGAGACATTTTAGCAGACAGTTTGGCACCATGTCGCAGGCCTTTACTGACTGTTGTATTGTGGGCTTTCCTCCTGCTCCTGTTGTTAATAAAGATCCCAGCTCTTTAGACCAAACTGTCGTCTCAGGTCAACAGTTGCAGTAAGTATCCCTTTAAAGCTCACATGTGCACGTCTTGGCTTAACTTTTCCTCAGGAAGTTGGATATGATTCATGCTTAGCTTTGTCCTCCTTTACACATGAGCATTTGTCATCTGTCCTCACCAGGAAAGAGCTGCAGCGATCACGACGCAGGCTGTGGGACATTCGTGTTTTCTTCTCATTTTGCTCACGACCTTAGGGTTCTGCTTTGATGACACACTCCACAGCAGTGTTTAATTTCTCCTCCTTCTGGCTGCTGGGGTCGGGTCTCTGTGGCATCTCTGAAATAATGAGAATAGTGTAAGGTCATTGTCACTGTTCAGACGACTGTCACTGCACGGGAGTTGTAAATTGTGGCAAAAGCGCTCAACTAATTTTCACACATAATTCCTTTCAAAGAATTCCTTTGTTCTTGTGCAAAATTAAACATTACCAAAACAAATAGCTTAAAATGCAAATTTGGAGATGCTTTTAGAGAACAACAGACTGAAGAACTGCATTTCAGATTAGCTGTCAATCGAGCCCCCATTTGTCAATAATTTCTCAGAAGAGCCTGGGATGTTCTCTTCTTCTTATTTTCATTTATAAATTCAATTCAGAAGTGCAATGAGACCAACAGATTCTCCTGCCTCGCTGTCTAATTTACTTACTTCTCGAGGATAAATGACATGCAGGAAGGGCTGCTGCTCAGAATCCCAGGGCCCTAGAAGAAAAGGCCTTTGCATGTCTCAGAGACGCCAGTTCTGTTTAGTCTCAGCGACATCACCCGGCACACACAACATCCTGCGTTCTTGTTCTGCTCTGCCCCTGTGCTCACTGGGAAGGCAGCTTCTTGGATGGCCCTGTATAGAGATTTGCATTGGTATGGATCTTGCTTTATTGATACAAAGTTAAAGTCAATTTTATTATATGTGTATTTTTGCTCTTGATTAAAATATTGTGTTTGTGCAGCTCATTTAAAAATGTAACATATAATTAAGAAATATATGTTAATAGATAATCATCTGTAATAGTCAAGCTTGTAGTCATGTTAGTTAGATTTTCTAGATATACAGAGATGTATTTCAGATAGATAGACATTCTTCAAACCTTCAAGTCTACAAAATATGGCATTTAAAATGTTTAAGAACTTAGGACTTTTCATGTCAATGAGACACATCTGCTCCTGGCAGCACCAATCTAGTTCAAGAGGATGATGGGCATCAAAGAGGCTCCATTTGGATGGAGTTGGTTAGCCATTTGGGCAAGACACTGCTCTTGCCTGGACTGCTGGATGGTATGTTGCATAAACTGGACATGCAGGACCCACAGAGTAATGACTGCTGAACTTGCCTAAAGGTCAGACAATCCTTCAGGGTTCCTGCTTCATGAAAGAGTCTGCGAGACATTCTGCAGGACACAGAAGAAAGTGACTGACAAACTGCCCATATAGGAGAACTTGTCTTTGAAATTTCCTGCTTTATGAAAAAGTGTGCTGGATACTATAGGCCTGTAGACTGAAGATTGGATGCCCCAACGGTACAGAAGAACTTTGGGTGACTGTCTGAGCAGCGAGATGTCTCTGTCATTTCTAGAGTTTTGGAAATTGCTTACAATGCACTTCCTGTTTACTTAAGTAAAATTATATCCTTCTGGAGTCTTTGATAGAGTTGAAGAATTTGTAGTTATAGATATAGTTTTTCTTAGTTATCATGAAAGATAAAGCAAATATAAATATTGTAACTATAATTCTTTCTTGATAACTGTTTTGTTATATGTAACTTTACAATGTTAAAGTTAAAACTTTCTTTTTTATTTAACTAGAAAAGGGGAGGTGATGTGGGAGGTGATGTATGCTGGAATACCATTGGTTAATAAAGAAACTGCCTTGGGCCTGTGCAGGGAATAGAGATAGGCGGGGAAAGCTAGGCTGAATGCTGGGAGAAAGGGGGTGGAGTCAGAGAGAAGTCCTGGAGCCAGAGCCAGAGATGCTGAAACTTTGCTGGTAGGTCACGACCTCATGGTGATGCACAGATTAATGGAGATGGGTTAAATTAAGATGTAAGAGTTAGCAAATAAGAAGCTAGAGCTAATGGGCCAAGCAGTGATTTAAATAATACAGTTTTTGTGTGATTATTTTGGGTCTGAGCTGCCGGGCGGCTGGGAAACTAACAAGCTGCCTCCTTACAACAGCTCTGTATTAAAACTTGACTCAAATGTCTTGCCTTTACCCCCATGCATCGTGCAAGCTCATCTTTGTGGTTCTGTGGATCAGTGACAGAATGGGGTTAAGAGAAAAATCTGGTCGGTGTACAGATTAAATCCATGGTCTGTAATGTAGGCTATCAGAGCCTTGTCGGGAAGAATGTAAATGCCTGCCGAGGGACAGTCACGTTGCTGACACAGTGCTCGGTGTTTGGGGGCAGTTCCGTTGAGCTCCCAGACAGTTTCCTTCAGGCAATGGAAGAAGCTGGAAAAGCAGAGTCACTTGCTAAGGCCCCTAGCTGGTAGATGTCAGTTTTCCCATGGCTCCCTGCCTCACACGCAGCTCAGCTCCAGGCGGTTGTTCAGCCGGTTGGTTTTACAAAGTGCAGCCAGCCAGTCACATTTAATGGCTCCAATAGCCCTCTGACAAATTTTTTATTTTTTAAAAAAACCAACGGCTTCACCAAGGCAGTAGGGTTATCATGCGTATGAGGAAAGCGTGGGAAACCTAGTGAGACCATGTCTAATGAAAGCAAGCAAACAGACAAACAAACAGAAAAAAATCCACAGAAAATGAAACAAAACCAAATCTGGGGTTGGGAATTCACAGAAAGGGCAAACAAAAAGAAATGCCAGACAGACATGATGCATGTAATCCTGTACTTTATCCATGTGTGCCCAACGCAGGAATATAGGAGGAAGTACACAGACGTGCCCTTCCCAAACTCTTCAGCGATGGCTCCAGACTACAGGTGGGACCGGCCCTCTGTACTCTGCGATTGCATATATATGCAAAGCTATAATAATAACAACAAACAAACACAAAAAGAGGACTCTTCTTCACTTTTTAAAAATCATGGCTGCAATGATTATGCATTTATGCTGAGAACTATTTCCTTTAGTTTTATGGTTTTTCACCTACTTATCAAATAACCTTTAAAGTCCAGCAGAAATGACATGTTCTGACAAATCTTTACATTCTCCTACAACTGAGACAAACCACTCCTAGCTCTCACCTGTCCTGTCTCACGTCTTGTGAGACAGCTATCTATCTGTCTTAGTTAAGGTTTTTATTGCTGTAAGGAAACACCAGACTATGGCAACTCTTATAAAGAAAACATTTAATTGGGGTGGCTTACAGTTTCAGGGATTTAGTCCATTATCATCACGAGAGCGAGCCTGGCAGCATGTAGACAAACATGATGTTGGAATAGCTGAGACTCCTACATCTTGCAGGCAACAGGAAGTTGACAGACAATCACCCTGAGGGAAGTTTGAACAAAAGAGACCTCAAAGCCCACCCCCACAGTGACACACCTCCTCCAACAAGGCCACACCTCCTAATAGTGCCACTCCCTTTGGGGGCCATTTCTTTTCAAACAACCATTCTCTGATTGCCTTTCTCTGTCACAGAGTCATGGGGCAGTCTTGTTGGCAGGTTCTTTCTGCACCCCTTGTATACAATTACCTCATCCAAGGCGCAAGGAAACCTAGGTAAGGGGGATGGGAAGAGCGTAAGAGCCAAGCAATGAGAAACCACGCTGTGGGTCAGTCTCCTGGACGTGTCATGGCTGTTATACCCGTGAACTCACAGGAGTAGTGGCTACCCACTGACGCAAGACTGGGCAAGTCAATGACCCACTGTGGAAGAGGACAGGGGTCATAAGAGCCCACGCCTTCCAAAGGAGTCATAGGCAGTTAATGGTTGCTATGAGATGAGAAGTCATATTCCTTAGTGGTATAGACATTGGGTAATTGCCTTTGTTGAAGTAAATAACTCCCTACCCATGCACATGAAGCCAACTCTAACCAGATGCAGTGGGCCACAAAGAAAGACATGAATGTAAGTGTGGGGTTTCTCACTCGGAGGAGAAGGGTTTCTGTGGGAGGCTAAGAAGATAGTAATGGGGTGTGATCCAAGCCTGTCTATATAGAGATGTAGATGTAGGTATAGATATGTGAATGTACAATAAATTTGAAAAGGGAAGCAAAAAGCTCCCCCACACTCTGCCACTCACGGTTTTCAATTCTCCGTGAGAACTGTCTTTCAGTTTCATTTGTTTTTTTTCTTCTGCATCTAAAGAAACTTTCATAAATGAGTAAGAGGCAACTTGAGAACCCAGCTGAGGGCCTGAATAAGCAATTCCCAGAAAAAGAAACACAAATGGCTTTTAAACGTGAAAAATGCTAAGACTAGATGCTTGTTAAAGGGAAAAAATTAAAAGTTGTGTAAGAAATGCAATCTGATCCATAGCCTGGTTTGGCCACGCATAATAGTTATGTAATATTAATACTCTAAATGTAACCGGCCAGCGAACAAAATGGACTGGGAATGTCCCAGCTGCAGACCTCTCTGTCACCTCAGTTCTTCATCACCACAGAGGCAGTATCAGTTTGTATAGCCTTTCTATTCTTGTGTTATTAATAAGTGGTCTCCCCCCACCTCCTGGGGAACCCAAAGTTTATTTTAGTCTAATGTCATAACACCCAGTTCTTATCCAATTTCTGTGTCTCTTTGCCCACAGTTTGGGCTGACATGGCTTCAAGTTTGTGATGGGCAAGAAGTGTGGGTAGGGATGTCAAATAAGATACGGCCTGTCCCCAGCTAGATGCAAATTTTAGAGAGGAACGCATACATTTAGGGGAATCAGTCCTAAATAACACACAGCATTATCTTCGCACCAAAAAGGTGTTCATTATTTCAAATTCAAAGTTAGCTAGGCATCCAGGAATTTTTAGACTCATTTTTTTTATCTGAGTGTGTGCATGTGTTAGTGTGTGTTTGTGTGTGCCTGTACACATGTCATCTACAGACAACAGAAAAGGATGCTGGTTTCCCTAGAGCTGGGGTTCAGGCAGTTTCGAGTCTCTCACTGTGGGTATGGACTCAAGTTCTCTGAAGAACAGCAAACACTCTTTGGTTGGTTGGTTGGTTGGTTGGTTGGTTTTTTCGAGACAGGGTTTCTCTGTAACTTTGGAGCCTGTCCTGGAACTCACTCTGTAGACCAGGCTGGCCTCAAACTCACAGAGATCCTCCTGCCTCTGTCTCCCAAGTACTGGGATTAAAGGCGTGCACCACCACCACCCAGCATAGCAGCAAGTACCCTTAAGGGCCGAACCATCTCTCTTTGTTAGATCTGGCAACCTTAGGCAGAGAGTGAATGTCTTGAAACTCCATCTCCCTCGCCCGGCTGCGGGCCATCTGTAATTCTCCAGAATTGGGGAAGACATGGAACGCTTGCACACATGGAATTACAAGCTCTTGACTTGCACGGCATCCTCTGCCGAGTGCCTTCTCAAGGTATCACATGACCAAGGCCGACTCACAGGACCTTTCCGGCGATTGGGATGTTGTAGGTGTACTGACCAGGGACCTGGCTTGCGGTCCACCCTTTGTTGAAGCCGCTTTTCACCCTTCTGGGTGGTACTGTCATGGCGTGTGTGCGTGCATGTGTGCGTGCCTGCGTGCGTGC